GCGGGGGTGGGGCCCAGGAAGCGTCGTTTTGGACATATGGCTGAATATACCCAGTCTATGCAGGAGTGGGTGGAGGACTTAGCCATGCCGTCCAGCACGGGGGGGGGGGGGGGCGTCGGCCAAACCTATCGATGGGGACCTCTTTCTTAGCCAGGCGTCGAGATACGACACGAACGATTTCCCGACGATGGAGGAGGAGGAATAGGGGCGGAAGGATCTTGAACGACTAGCTAGAGGTTTTCGTACTGCTCGGCGTCGTCGCGCTGCTGCACCGTGGAGCGCGCCCAATGAGATATGGTCGCTGCTTCTCTCTGAGCGCCCCGCTGTGCGTGATCGAGTTGCTGGCCTCGGATCGGTGCCGCCGAAGGGTCGCGGCGAGCTTTGCGGTCGTTTGATCGCTAGCGTTCTCACTGAAGTGAGGCAGCATGGGCGACCCGTTGGGCAGTGGAACCAATCCTTCACCTATCAATTCCCAAAAGAGAACGGAAAGCTGAGGACTTTGGGCACTCGTTTGCGGCATGGGTGGTGATCCTTCGGCAAGATGCGGGTCAAGACTGCCCAGAGAAATGCTCGGGGCGTTCCGCGTTGCGACTGCGGGTATTTGCCGCGACGGGCACGTGCGGGAGCGGTTCGAAGGACTGCTGCTTTGACTTGGAGGGCCCAGCGAGGCCAGCTTTTGACGCTAGACACCAAACACGATATGCGAAATGCTTTCGGATCGGTGCACCACGAATCGCTAGATGCTGCTGTCGCTCGTCTTTATGACCCTGCTGATGCTGCTATACTTGTCCAGCGTCATAGGTCAGCATGCTTTCGCGTCTGCGTGGACGGGGGGCCCAAGTTTTTCCAGATCTCGGAGGGGAACTATATGGGGGGTGCGAATGTGGCAACGGTGTTTCAGGCTGCTTTTGCGCCACCTAACAGGGCTTGGCAACAGGCCCACCAGGTGATGTATCCCAATCAGTTGATGGGTACATGTAGTATTACTGGTGCTCGCTGCGATTTATCTCTGGGAGTTTTTGCGGACGATGCCAATAAGACACATGTGGTACAGGATCTGACCAGCTCACGGCGTGTTAGTTCTTCTTCTGACAGATTGCTCAATGCGATGTTGAGGCCGCACGGCATCTTTCAGAGTGGCACAAGTTCATCCTCACTATGTCGGTCACGGTGCCAACAGGTTCTCTAGGGCTGTATTCCAGGGCAGTAGCGAACTTCCTGGGCCCGGGCTTCCTGCCACCCCCTTCTTCGGCACGCTCTTTACTCCAACGGGCTCCTGGGCCTCAGAAGTTGCTGCACTTTGTGCGGCTGTCGTTCGAGGATGGGCTCACATGCGGCGTTTTGTGGTCTCCGTGTTCTTCCTGGAGGTCCAAGAAGATGGCGTTTAGGAGCAACGTGATTGGGGCCGCTGTCTCTGGGTTGACTGCAGTTGTACTTACAGGGTCTCAAGAGGCTCGCTTGGGTTCGGCGCGTTTGAAATATCTGAAAGTCCTTCTAGGTGGGGTTGCTGTACATGTGCCCGCCGTCGATGCCGATGGAACTGAGCATGTCGTTGCTCGGGCCCCGCCCGCGATCCAGGTGTGGAAACGCGCAGGCCTTGTCCCCATCCCTGTCGAGCGCCGTGTCCAGCGGCTTCAGGAATGGCAAAAAGTGGCGAGGTCTCCTGGGCATCACATGCAGCAGCTTACAGCTGTGTTCGGGCTCCTGGACTTCGAGGCCCCCCTCCAGCACCTTCGGGAGGTACCTCCCACGGACATGATCAGACTACGGGATACGTCAAAAACCAATCCTTGGGCCAGGCAATTTTTCAGCGATCTGGAGTCGATGAGTTCCACGGAGGAGGGGAGGAACGTTCTTGAGCTGACGGAGGGGGGCTACATGAGGGTGTTTCAGGGAGATACTGATGCTTGTCATGCTTTTCAAAAGCTGGATGTACAACAATTTCGTGCTGAATGGTTATTGCGTGAGGTTCCCCACCAAGATGCCCCTAGAGAGCCAGGTGAGGTTGCCGAGGGGGCTTTCGTGTGCACGCTGATTACGAGTGACGGTCTCTCGTGTGATCGAAGATTCTGCTCGCGTCGGTCGCTTCTCGTTCATCAGCGTCTGGCCTCTGGTGGCCAACATGGGGTTCCGTCGGTGGTGTCGAAGCTCGCGGTCACCAATCAGTGTATCGCATGCTCGTCGACGTCTCGCTGTCGAGATACGGCTGCGAGGCACCTCGCGAACGCATGCAGATATGGTCGATGCCGCGTGGACTCGTCGAAGTGCGATCCCCCGGTCGTGGACCCACAGGTCCGAGTATGCCCCGAATGCCATGGGCCGTTTGAGTCGCCCGAGCTGTTGCAGAGACACGTTGTTTCTCACCTTCCACTGCCTTTACCTGAGTTCGTGCGGCATGTTCTCGGCGGTCCCTGCGGCGACGTGGTCCGCTGGAAGCGGAGACAGCCGGCGCCGCGAGCGCGAAGGGCAGCCAGGCGGAGGCCGTGACAGGAAGAAGGCCACGCAGAAGAAGCCGTCGAACAGGACGGTGGCGAAGGAGGAGTTGGATGCGCTGGGGACACTCGAGGTCGAGCAGCTCAAGCGCGTCGTCCCCGTCATCATGATATTGTTGCTGAGTGTGACAATGAGGCAGCGCCAGACCGAGGCCGTCATGCTGGTGACGCTCCTCATGCGATAGGCCGCGGTGCCGATCGTCAAGAGCCGCGCCCGCGTCAAGGCATGGGTGGAATCCGCTCAAGACCTTCGCAGTCGCGGCGAGGACGAGGACATCGAGAAAACGGGAACCATCTCACTCGCAGCGTTGGTCGGCTTGACGGATGGGTGCATCGAGGCAGGGCCGAGCGTCGGCGCGGCCAACCAGAAGAAGCTCGGCGAGTGGCGCAACGAAGTTGCAGGAATGACACTCCCAGAGGTCGCGGCGAAGTTCCCGTTCGTGAAGTGCCAGACCGCACGCAAGGGCGAGACGGCAAAGGTGCTCTTGACGAACGACTCGTCCTTGAACGTGTTGATCGATTGCTTGGTGCAGCTCGGAGCAGAGAAAAAGGTGGGGGTGGCCCCAATGAATCACATGGAGAGGGTGTTGCAGACGTTTCTCGAGAACGGCGATATGGACATGTAAGTACGCAGAATGTTCATGGTGAGAGATTTGATTTGGTTGGCAATGCCTCTGCGGTGGCTCCTTCGGGTACTCATCCGAGCCGCTGTGCTGCGACGTCGGTGGCTTCTGACGTACGGGCGCACACATCGGCAACCGCGAGTGCTGGGAGCTCGGGGCTCAGAACTTCGAGGGTGACATCGGCTGGGAGCACTGCCTTTGAGGCCTGCTTGCCCGCCGCTGCCCAGGCCGTTGCTGTTTCTTCTCTTCCTCCTCCTCCTCCTCCTCCTCCTCCTCCTCCTCCTCCTCCTCCTCCTCCTCCTCCTCCTCCTCCTACTCCGACCCCCCCGTTTAAACGAGCCCGCACTCGTCAGGACGCTTTTCGGGAGTTTAAAAACTCGGGCTTTGGCGATAGCCTGTCTGGGTCCGCGGCTCGCCTCCTGGGGGTCAGGGGTTAGTTCGTATCGAATCCTGGGGTTTTGAAGTCTCGTAGGGATGCGGCGGGCTGGAGGCCCGAAATTCGCGGCCGATAGGTCGGTCCTAGGGCGCCATCGCGGTGTGTGAAGTCATTGTATGCCCCTACAGGTGTCTGCCTGTCTGTCCTCCTCCTCCTCCTCTTCCTCCTCCTCCTCCTCTTCTTCCTCCTCCTCCTCCGCCTCCTCCTCTTCCTCCTCCTCCCCGTTCCTCCTCCTCCTCCTCCTCCTCCTCCTCCTCTTCCTCCTCCTCCTCCTCCTCCTTCTCCTCCCCGCTCCTCCTCCTCCTCCTTCTCCTCCCCCTCCTCCTTCTCCTCCTCCTCCGCCCTACTTCGTCCACCCACCATCGAGCCGTGGTGGGCGAACGGGGCGTACACGTAAGAGACCCTCGCGGCACCTTGGGCCAGGGGCCCTTGGGGCCATCTTGGGTCAGGCGCCCCTTTTGGCAACCCCCGATTTGGTCCTCCTCCTCCTCCTCCTTCTCCTCCTTTTCCTCTTCGTCCTTCTCCTTCACGCCCGTCGGCCAAGGGCACCCAGGGGTGGCTTTCCCCGCGGCTGTCCGTGTCGAGCGCACGGGCAAACGGAGCACACTACGGCCGCGGGCTGCTCGGGGGGAGTCTTGCCGCACTTGCGTCGTGACGTGGCGTGTCGCGGTCGACCGACAGCTGCTGGCTGCACGAGGGGTCTCGGGCAGATGCAGCCGCGCGGGGCGCTCCAGAGCGGTTTTTGCCTTGGAGGTTGGCGTCTCTTCCCCGGCGGAAGGCCGGCGGAAGCCGGCGGAGGTGAAGCGGCTGCGGATTCGGTGGCGGAGGCCGGCGGAAGTCACAAACAGCATCCCCAAGAGGTGACACACGCTTGGGGTTCAGGGTTTCCGGAAGCCGCTGCGTGTTGCCACAAGCACGTCGCGGAGGAGGTGGGTTTCAAAGCACCTCGCCTGAATGTTCCACACCAGGCATTCCCACGACCCAGCCCAGTGCATGGAAGTTGCCAAGCCGTGACAAAGGACGTCTCACGATGTCGTCGCTGATCACGGTCCTTGGCCAGCGAGCAATGAAGCACGGCGAGCTCTGAGCGTGATGTGCAGAATACGCCAGCAAGTGGCGCAGCCAGAGTTCCCGATGCCCGGACGCAAACGGATCCTCAACGCGGGAGGGGTGCGACCGCGGGGCCTGGCGCATCTCAAACGAGTGTGGGGGGGCTTGGCGCTGCGCCCTCTTCTTCTCCACCCCCTCCTCGTACTCCTCTTGGCTACCCTGCTCCTCTCCCCCCTCTTCCTCTCCCCCCTTGCCCTCGTCTTTGAGGTCGTAGCTGTCGCTTTCGTCGTCGTCGTCGTCGTCGTCGTCACCCTCCTCTCCCTCCTCGTCGTCGCACTCCTTTTCCTTGCCCGGCTCCTTCACCTCCTCAGCCAGCCGTCTGCCCTGGAGCTCCGCGCCAGGACAAACTCAAGATGCCCCTCGGCATCGTTCTGCAGCCCCTGGCGCCGCTGCCGCTTGAGGCTCAGTATCGTGTAACCGACCCCCATCCCCATCCTCATCCCCTTCGAGACCCCCACCAGATTACCACCCCAGTTTGGGATACACCCCTCGAAGCCCGAAGGGAACGGCCAACATCCCCATCCAGGGGGGTAAATCGGCCAGCAGGGCCCAGGCCACGCCACTGGGGATGGGGGTCGGATGAACGATGCTCAGAGGCGATGGAAGAGGGCACCGAGCCCCTCGGGGTCCCCACGGTGAACTTCGGGGCGGTGGGGACCATCGTCAGGTGAGCGGCGCATAAGGGACATTTGTTTGAGTATTTTTCTTCCGCCCAAAATCCGCCTGTAGGAGGACATGCCCGACCTAAGCGTAAGCGACTTCTTCTCCACACAGTGTGCCACGCTGGCGGCCTGCACCAGCCGCGGCGTAAGGTCGCTATGTCTTCCCGCGTACGGCCCGTGAACATTCGCTGCTCAGGTGCAAGAGCTGCCGGACGTACGTGAACCCCTTCGTGCATTGGGAGGCGCATGGGCGGCACAATCGAAGAACTAAGCATGTGACACTAAACATTGGACGTACGTGAACCCCTTCGTGCATTGGGAGGCGCATGGGCGGCACGATCGAAGCACGAAGCATGTGATTGTGACAATGAACGTAAGCCTTCGGAGCTCCGCACGGATCTCTGAGATCCGCGCCGACCCCCCCTGGAGCGTGGCCGCTTCCTGCTCCTTCTCGCAGGCTGCTCGGGGGCGGTTCTCCCTCGTGCTCTCCACCGGGGAAAGGTGGGCGCACGCTCGCCTGCTCACCTGCGCAGCTGCTGCCGCTGCCGCTACCTGGGCACTGGAGAAAGTGTGGGTGCGCGTGTGTGTGTGTGTGTGCGCGTGTGTGCGCGCGTATGCGTGCGCGCGTGTGCGCGCGTATGCGTGCGCGCGTATGCGTGCGTGCGTATGTGTGCGTGCGTGCGTGCGTGTGAGAGAGAAAGGGCGAGAGAACAAGCAGAAAGAGGAAAGAACAGAGAAAGCAAGGTGTGCGCGAGTGTCCTGATGCACGTGTTTTTCCCGAGCCCCGTGGGCTCATGGAGAAGCACCCACCCATCAATGCGACGACGTGACGTTTTCGCAGCGTGGACCCCCCGAGGCTTGGACCTTTTCCCCAGGACCGGCTTTTCCATCCCAGCAGGCCTTTTTTTTGCTCCAGGCCCAGGGCCCGGTGAGGGCCCCTGGAGGCAGAAGAACTTTGCCAAACGCTTCATGCCGAGCTTTTGCTTCACAGCGAGAGGAGGCGGGGGCATGTCGTGCGTGGGGTCTGTTTTTTTGCCTGCGACGTCGAGACAGCGCCTCCTCCCGAGGCCAACGGTCGGCGGTGGACGTGCAACCTGTGCGGCTTCTCGCAGCTGACCCCGGACCAGTACTTCGCCAGCCTCGACGAGACGGGCAAGAGGACCCACTGCTCCGAGCTGCGTGGTAAGCGCTGCAGGGTGAAATCGGGCGCGATCTCTCTACGGGACGAGGACTCAGAAATAATCAAAACAATAGTCTGGGGACGACGTTTTGAGCATGTCTTGACTCTTGTTGAGCATTGTTTGGCTACTTTTCATTTCTCGTCCAAAATCCGTCGGGGGCGGACGGGGCGCCACCCCTCAAGGGCGCCCACAGGAGTGGCACTGGCCCAGACAGGGAACATCGACTCCCAAGCACCCGGTCGTCGCCAGCAGGGCCCTCGGGTGCCCCAATCCTGCCGGGGAGCGCGCGGTCTCGCTAGTGTGAGGAGGCTTCTGTGGGCCTCACGTCATCCCGACGCCATCACTCTTCCGCGCAACCCCGACTACCTCCAGATTTCGTAATAAAGGGAGGGGGGTCTCATTTCGGGGGGGGTCTCTTCCAGGCTATCTTGGAGGGCCTGGGGGGGTCTGGGGACGATGTTTTGGAGGGTTCTCCCATGGGGGAGGTCTGAAATGGCTTGTCTGGGAGGGTCCAGACCCCCTCCCTTTTATTATGAAATCTGGAGTAGGGCCACTAACCCACCAAACCATCATAGTTTAAACCCACGCCTCAGACCCGGCGAGAGCCGAAGCTGCCGCGCAAGCGCTGGACAGAATGCACGCGCTCGCCCAGCAACTCAACCGCGGCGCGGATGTCCCCACAACCCTGGCGCGCGAGAATGTCGCCTCCCAGGGACAATTTCCGCCAATGCGCCGGGCGCGCTGGGCGTGTCCCGATCTGGCGCCCTCGCTCGAGACATCCTCGCAAAATCGGGCCCCTGGCGCATCTGGGCTTCAGGGACTATTTCTGGCGATGCGCCGGGCGCGCTGGGCGCACCGGGCGTGTCCCGATCTGGCACCCTCGCTCGAGACATCCTCACAAAGTTGCCCCACGGGCCCCCAGCACTGGGGACCATTTCCAGCGATGCGCTGGGCGCACTGGGGGTCCCGATCTGGCGCCCTTGCTCGAGACGTACTCGTAAAATCGCCCCACGGGCTCCTAGCGCACCCCCAGGAATCAAGGGCTCCCAGGAGGGCGCGAAGTTATTCGCGCTTCGCGCTTCGCGGTCCTCGTTCCTTCTCCCCCTCCTCCTCGTCCTCCTCTTCTCTCCCTTTGGGGCGGCGGCGCGAGGGCGCGAAGTTATTCGCGCTTCGCGCTTCGCGGAGCGCGAAGCGCGAAGTTGGGAGCCCTAGAGGAATCATTCCCGGTCATGTGCCGGGCGCACCGGGTGTGTTTTGATCCGGCGTTCTCGCTTGAGACATTCTCGCAAACTCGCTCTACGGGCTCCCAGCGCACCCCCAGGGGTCATTTCCTGCGATGCGCCGAGCGCGCCAGGCGCGCCGGGCGCACCAGGCGAGGACGAGGATGGAAACGAGGATGAGCATGAGGGCGAGCACGATGAGGAGAAGGATGAGCAAGGAGACGCTGGAGGATTCGAGGGAGAACGGAGGCGGGAGGAGAGGAGGAGGAGGAGGAGGAGGAGGAGGAGGAGGAGGAGGAGGAGGAGAAGGAGGAGGAGAGCGCGAGACAGCGGTGGAGGAGGGGGAGGAGGGGGAGGAGGAGAAGGAGGAGAAAGAGAAAAACGGATGACCTCCAGGGACATCCAGCTAGTGAGCCTCACATTCCTGATCCTCACCTTCCTGATACTCACCCGCCGCACCACCGCCGCCCGCTCACTACCACCATCGTCGTCGAGCTCAGGCGCACGTCCCTTCTTCCATGTACAGAAACTCCCGATCAACCGCAGAGCGGCCAGCTAGTGGTAATTATCGGAGGCCTGGGGGTGGCGCCACCCCTGAAGGGCGCCGACAGGGGTGGGACTGGCCCAGACAGGGAACCATCGATCCCCAAGCACCCACTCGTCGCCAACAGGGCCCTCGGGTGCCCCAACCCTGGCTGCGAACTGCGAGACCGTCGCCCTTGTCGAGGGCTGCTGGGAGGTCCAGCATGGCGACGTCCTGCGCGGATTCAGATTCGCATCGACGTCTTTCCCCGCGGGCCGCCCGAAGACCTGGCGGCGCGCGTGCAGGTGTTTAGCCCCCGCGGCGCGAGTTGCGGGAAGGAAGCCGAGATCCTGGCGGTCGAGTTCAGCCTCGCTCGCTTGCGCCAGCTGCGAACAGCTGATCCCCTGGAGCGCCAGAGCGACACGGCGCGGGCCGCGCTGCTTGTCCAGCGTGCCAGCGGAGAATGCTCGTAACCGTCCGGCATCATATTGCCTCTTTCGTTGTCGTCTTCTTCGTTACCTGTCTGGCCCCTCCTCCGTCCTCTTTCTGACCCCTCGTTCCCCCCCCCGACTTTGTTGTCGAGCCTGAGGCCTCAGTCCTCGTCCTTCTGTTACTGTCCTGTGGGTCGTGCCGCGCGCGCTTCCCATGTAGCTTGCGCAATTAGTGCCAGATCCTGTATTGTCATCAGCCGTGCGATTCTGGACCAATTCTTTTTGTCTCTTAATGCAGATTGGCTGGGTACGTCGCGAGATAATTTTACAGCGGGAAGCGCGCCGTTGAAAGACAACCGTCTGAAATCCACATCCGCGCCACAGTACCATTCTTAGAATTTCAACGCCGCGAATTAACGTCATTGTTGCGTCCAGGCGATCCTGAATCGTGTCAGAACGCTTCTCCTGGGACGTCACCGCCGCAAATCAACGCTACTGTCGCGCACTTGCATGTTTTAACTCGTGCCGGCATGCCACGTGTGGGACGTCAGGCATATTAACACACATTGGAAACATGATAGCATGGTAAGGCGGCTGAGGGCGGCGCCACGGCGAGAGCCTCATGCTGTAAAGGAGCCGCCCTCCAGCCGTGAAGCTCTTGCAAACGTTTCTGACAAACGTGCGCGGCGCGAAGGCGAGGGCTACAGGTTGAAAATGGCCCGTCGTCCGTCCGTGAAGCCCTTGCAACATGTTGGGGCGAATGCGCGCGGCGATGACGCGAGAGCCACACTTTGAAAACGACCTGCCTTCTCCATCATTGAAACCGCTGCTGATCTTAAGCTTCACGGTCATAGGTGGTGAAGAAAAAGTCTCAGGCGAAACGCCCGGGTCGCCCCACCGACACGCCTCGGGGTGCGACAGGCAGTCGTTATTCACGAGAAACCAGGGGGCGGTGGAACAGGAGGAGGACGAGGAGGAGGACGAGGACGAGGAGGACGAGGAGGACGAGGAGGAGGATGAGGAGGAGGACGAGGAGGAGGAGGGGGAGGAAGAGGAGGAGGAAGAGGAGGGCGAGGATAACCTTGCTGTCGCCCGTGGGAGGACTGACCGCTACCAGAGGCCGGAGCTGTCCAGGTTCCAGGGCCGAAACACTCTGCTGCTCTGCTGCTGACCGTGTTGCTGCAGCGGTTTTCTTGCTCTTCCTCCTCCTCCTCCTCATCCTTCCCCTCCTCCTCCTTCTTACGTTATACCAGCGTTGCAGGCTGTTGTGATCCGTCGCGTCGTCTCGCAGCGATCTGGCAGAAGTGAACTTCAGAGCGCACGAGCCAGATCAAACTCGAACTCTTGCCAACTCGGTGCAGAATAGGCAGAACGGGAAGCGCAATAGTGTAGAGCCTGCAAGGTCGAGAGTACTAGAACTGCGGCGGTGGCAAGGAAGTACGCGGTGACTCTTCCACCACACCCCGACAGACATCCTCACCGACACCCCCTATCCTCCAACATCAAGTTCGTTGCAGGCAGCACGGCGTCGCGACAGTGCAGACGCATGTGGAATCAGGGCGATTGTAATGATGCCCTGGCAGCAGGTGGCTCTATCATGTAATACCATGTGCCTGGCTCCGCTAAGATTATGCCCTGGCCCTGCGGCAACATCAGTAGCGCGGGAAAGGAGGAGGGAGGGGACAACACAGGAGCACAGGAAGAGGGGTGGGGTAATTGGGGGCCGCCTAGGCGACGGGCTGTCCGCAAGTGGAGTTATCATGTCAGCACATGCAGCGCTGCAGCTGAACTCGAGTCCTGATTTAAAGTTGTCGATCTCCTTCCCCGCACTTCATCCTATGTTAAGATGCCTATGATCGTCATGCTGCGGGCGGAAGGGTCGATGTAAAGATGCCCGTGGTCGTACCGTTGGCCTGGAAGTGGTAACTAGAAGTGCAGTGAAAGACTCTTTGATGAGTCTGGACGGCTCCTCCTCCTCCTCCATCGCCTCCTCTGCTCGGAATCCGCCCAACTCGTGTCAGTGTTGGCGCCTGCTGTCGGGCTCTGCAGCGCAGGGCCTGTGAGACGATGCCCCCTTGTAGGAGGCACGCTACAGCTGTACAACTGGCGATCTAAACTTGGGATATTGCTGAGGGAAAATTTGAGCTTGCCGGCCAAAACCCAACAGAGCGTGCAACTGGTGGTAGGGCCGATGTAAAGGTGCCCTGGGCCAGTGACCGAAAACGTAAGCCTGCGGCACTGCGAGAGACCACCGGTTCCTGCTCCTCCTCCTCCTCCTCCTCCTCCTCCTCCTCCTCCTCCTCCTCCTCTTCCTCGCCACCTCCTCCTCCTCATCCTCCTCCTCGTCCTCCTCCTCCTCGTCCTCCTCCTCCTCCTGGTGCCTGCTTTGCGGTGCTATATCTGATGATTTGCATCACCGGCTGTTCCTGCGCCCTGCCACGAGGGCTCTTCGAGATAAGTTTCTATCAGATTTGTTCCACGATGTAGTCATGCATGGTAGCAGGAAGTGCCCCTCGATGTTAGGCTTCCAAGTTGCGCCGGAGAGCATATGCTATCCACCTGATGGCCTAGATCCTGAGCAGTGCGAGTTCCATTGTGTGGATCCTGGTGCTACTGTACTTGATGCCTTGAGAGGCAAGAGGCTGTTCTCGGATTGATCTTGTTTCGAATACGGTCATCGGGTACACCATTGTGCCGGTTGGGCTCGTGTTTGTATCACAGGCCATGGAGAAGTGCATGCTGCGATCTCTGGTAAAGTAGGCCAGCTTCTACCTCAGACCAGCCCTGCCGCCGAACATGTAGGTTTCCTTGCTTCGTGCAGGCATGCGCATTATGCCAGCGAGTTCTGTACTGATTGCGAGGGTCTTGTGGGTACTACAGAGACGGCTTCTGAGGCTGTCTTCGATCGAAGATCCTACTATGCTAGAGTGAAGCATCTTGGAATTGGTGCTTGCCCCAGGTCGCGTGAGCAGCTACGCATATTCTAAAGTGAAAGCCCTGCTGTGCCTGCCGGTCTCGCGGTGGGAGGCCACCGCTGGGTGTGGAGGCATGCCAGGTGGATTTGTCGTGTCTGCCGAAGGCGCAGCCTGCGTGACCCTCCCCTTCCGGCACCTGTTTGCAAGCAGGCTCGCCCTGAGCTCCCAGCTCTGTTCGAGAATTCTCGCCTCCACCACTTGCACGTTACACAACACCCTGGAGGGGTGATTCATCTGCATGGCCCGTGGATGCATGACCGAATCAGGACGACTCAACAAGCTTGCGGAAGACTGCCTGGGGGAGCCCACCAGTGACCACCTCGGGTCTAATCTCAAGCGAGTGCGGGAGGGTAAGCACCCCTCGCACGCTACGGGCAACAACATTGTCCTTGAGGAGCTTGTCGCTGTCTCCCAGCTGCTCGGTTGAATCGCTGGGTTTGGTAAGCACGATCGGGCATAGCTGGAGGAGAGAGCGGGTGGAAAGAGAGGGGGGGACATTTTGATAGCCATGCCTTGGCTCGGTGCTGAGATGCACCATCTATCCCATCATGTGGGATAACGATGTCTTGTTATTCTGTCGGGGCAATTTGCGCGCCGATGCTCTTGTATACAGCGATCCTGAGGGGACAGACGTGTGGCAAGTAGGTCGGTCCCGATGCATTTGATACAAATATCACACTTTTTTGTATGACCGTAGCTGCTGGTTCAGCGCAACTTGTAATGTAGAGTAGGCAACCAATTGAATTGGTTTGTAGCCTGCCGCCTGAGAGCCCCAGCCTTGCACTGCATGGAATTATTCGTGGCTGTTCTCTGTGTGTGGCATGTTGATTAGGGGGCCGCCATGTGCCGCTTAGCGGTGCAGGGTCTGCCCTCCGACATTCGTTGCTGGATGGCCCAGCCTTGCTCTCGACTTGTCCAATACAATCCTCCTCCTCCTCCTCCTCCTCCTCCTCCTCCTCCTCCTCCTCCTCCTCCTCCTCCTCCCGGGGCGACCTTTCTCCCTCCTCATCTCCTCTCACAAGGAAGCTAGTTGGGCCTTCCGGGGGTCCCGGGGGGGCGTTCCGCGCCGTTCACCCGCGGCGCTCCGTTAGGCGCGAGGCGGCGTCCGCGCGGACGGGGGATCGTGCTGAGGCGCGCTGCAGCGGGGGAGGAGGGGAGGAGGAGGAGGAGGAGGAGGAGGAGGAGGAGGAGGAGGAGGAGGAGGAGGAGGAGGCGGAGAGGAGGAGGAGGGGAGGAGGAGGAGGAGGGGAGGAGGATAGGGAGGAGGAGGATAGGGAGGAGGAGGAGGAGGAGGAGGAGGAGGAGGAGGAGGAGGAGGAGGAGAAGAAACAGTGTGAGGAGGAGAAGGAGGAGGAGGAGGAGGAGGAGGAGGAGGAGGAGGAGGACAGGGAGGAGGACAGGGAGGAGGAGGAGGAGGAGGATGACCGGGAGGAGGAGGAGGCGGAGGAGGAGGACGAGGAGGAGGAGGAGGAGGCACATCAAAGAGGAACGAGAGGATACGAGAGGGGAAAGGATGGGGGTGAGTGGCTGGCCAACTCAGGCGCAGTCGGTGACCTCGTTTGGCTGCGGATCTGCAGACATTTGCCAGACATCGGCCAAGTTTGGAGCCAGTAGGTCACGCCAAACCAGGAGGTCACGTAGTCAGGTTCACGACCGCCTGCTGTAGGGCATCAGCGTCCAGCTCGAGTCGGTACGCTGTTAGCCGTCCAACGTCGTAGCTGATGGCCTCGGGATCTTGCTTCGCTTTATCTCCGTCCTCGCAGCTGATGGTATCGGATTCGTGCTTCACTGGGCCGCCCTCGTGGCTGATGGCGTCGGGCTCGCGCTTCGCTGTACCACCTTCGTAACTGATGGCATCGGGTTCGTACGTCTCGCAATCTCCCTCGTAGCTGAAGACATTGGTCTCTTGCTTCGGTGTGCCACCCTCGGAGCTGATGGTATCGAGCCCGTGCTGCGCGTCACCTTTCTCGTAGCTGATGGCGTCGGGTGTACGTTGCAAGCTGCCCTTGCATGCCGCTCCAAGCTTCTACTCATCTTATTCCTCCTGACCTCCGAAATGTAAATGCCGATGGAGACGTCAATTGCCTCCCGCTCCTCCTCCTCCTCCTCCTCCTACTCCTCCTCCTCCTCCTCCTCCTCCTCCTCCTCCTCCTCCTCCGCCCTCTTCCTCCGCCCTCTTCCTCCTCCTCCTCCTCCTCCTCCTCCTCCTCCTCCGTGACCTCGTGCGACGGCGCCCTGCTGGCGCACGGCGTTCTCCGCCTACGGCGGGGTCTCCAGATGGCGTGCACTGACCAGGTCGTCCTCGTCGTCGCCCCCCCCCGGGTGCACCTCGGACCCGGGCATGCTGGGCCCGCTCCCGGCGCGCTTGCGTGCGCCCGCAGAGCTCACCTTGCTGGCTGGCGACGCAGACCACGGGCTGGAGTCCGTGAGCTGGTACAGTGGAGGCCCATGCCTAGAAACACCCTGCTTGCCTCCAGATTGCCCTGGTGCTCTTGGGTTTCGCTGGCTTCGCGATGCCAAGCGTGACGTTCCCACACCAGAGGTCAATGGACGTCCTGGGGTCTCAGGGTTCAGTTTCTTGTGGAAGGTTTCTTGTCAACTGGCCTCCACTCTACTCGTTGCGCTCGTCGTGAGCCTGCGGCTGCGCGGGCCCCCGCCACTGCGCTGAAGGCTTAGCCCCAGTGTTTGTCCAAGAGGGTGCTCTACGCTCTTGGGCGGCAGGGTAAAAAGTTTCCCGGCGCCGCGGTCTCAGCCCGCGGCGCGGTCGGCTTTCCCTTTAGTCTGACGCGCTTCTGGGCGAGATCAGCTCGGAGGGGGTTCAACTTGGTTCGGGCGACGTCCTGCCTTCTCATGTCTTCCCTGATTTCCCCCGCTTCCTCGGTGGCGGCTTGCCTTAAGTCGGGCCTGTCCCCCTACAGGGGGAATATACAAAAATAGTCAAACAATAGTCGGGGGATTTTTTTTTTGAGCATTCTTGTTGACCATTTTGGAGTATCTTTTGGAGTATGTTCTTATTTCTCGCCAAAAATCCCCCTCTAGGGGGACAGGCCCGACCTAACCCTAAGCGGCGCCCGAGCCGTTTAGGGTTAGCCTCTAGGGGGACGGCTCGCCTTGCCTCGCCCGCGCCGTGGCTTCCCTGATTTCCTGCCTTATCATGTCTTCCATCTTCCCTGATTTCCCTCGCTTCTTCGGTGGCGGCTTGCCCCCCCCTGAGCGGCGCCCGCTGGATTGACGGCTCGCCCTGCCGCGCCCGCGCCGTGGCTTCCACCGCGGCGCTCTGCGTCGACCTGAGCGCGGTCGTCGACCGGGCGCGCGGGGCCGGCCCGCCGCGGGGCGGCTTCCCGGCGGGGAAGCCGCGGTTCGGGCCCACGATGGCCTTCCTCCTCCTCCTCCTCGTCCTCCTCCTCCTCCTCCTCCCCCTCCTCCCCCTCCTCCTCCTCCTCCTCCTCCTCCTCCTCCTCCTCCTCCTTCCTCCTCCTTCCTCCTCCTTCCTCCTTCCTCTCCCTCTCCACCGCCCCCTCCTCCCTCGCTGCCTCCCTCCTCCTCGTCCTCATCCGCCTCCTGCTCCTCCTCGTCTTTCTCGTCATCCTCTTCCTTCTGGTGTTCCTCCCTCCCTTTCTCCCTCCTATTCCCGCCATCCTCCCTTCTCCACCTATCTCCCCTGAGGATAGTTAATCCGCTTCCCTCCGAGGTCATCTGAGCATGCGCGCGCATTTCACAAGCAACCTGCGCGCCCTCAAGACAAGCGAGCACGACCGAGCGTCACCAGCCTGCGTCCGACCGACCACCGACCCTCCAACCCTCCCTCCCTCCCTCCCTCCCTCCCTCCCTCCTCCCTCCTCCCTCTCTCTGTAGCCCCACCCTCATCAGCCTCCTGGTCTTCGTCCTCATCCAGCCCTCCCCCCCTGTCAGTGAAGGTATCTCGGGGGCGGGGGGGCGATCGAGTAAATCGCCCTGGGGGGGTACATCCTACTCCTTCCCCACCTTTTCCCCCCCTGGCAGGAGGAGGAGGAGGAGGAGGAGGAGGAGGAGGAGGAGCAGGAAGAGGAGGTCGAGGAGGAGCAGGAGGAGCAGGAGGAGCAGGAGAAGCAGGAGGAGCAGGATGAGGAGGGGGGGAGAACAAGTCCCCCCCGGGCGAATAGCCTCCTCCTCCTCCTCCTCCTCCTCCTCCTCCTCCTCCTCAACCGCCTCCTCCTCCTTCTCCTCCTCCTCCGTCCGTCCGTCCCTCCCTCACTCCTTCCTCTCCTCCCCCTGTCTACTGGGCGTGCGGCAGGGGGGCAATCGAGTACATCGCCCCGGGGGAGTACATGGTCAGGCCGCCGCAGCCTCCCGTCTTCATGTTTGTCATCGACGTGTCGTACACGGCCGTGGTCACCGGCATGCTCGACACCGTGGTGGCGAGCATCAAGGACGAACTGGAGCGTAGGGGCAGGAGGAGGAGGAGGGCGAGGAACGGCGAGGAGAAGGAGGAGGAGGAGGAGGAGGAGGATCAAGAGGAGGAGGAATAGCAGGAGGAAGAGGATGAGGAGGAGGAGGAGAAGAAGGAGGAGGAGGAGGAGGAGGAAAAGAGGAGGAAAAGGAGGAGGAGGAGGAGGAGGAGGAGGTGGAGCAGGAAGAAGGAGGAGGAGGAGGAGGAGGAGGGAGGAGGAGGAGGATCAGGAGTGGAGGGTGGAGACTGGCCAGGAGAGAGCAAAGACGGAAGAGCAGGAGCGGAACTGGAGGATGAGCAGGAGGAGGAGTAGAAGAAGAAGGAGGAGAAGGAGGAGGGGCGGTTGAGGACGGAGGAGGAGGAGGAGGAGGAGAAGGCGGAGGAGGAGTGAGGAGCGAGGAGGAGGAGAGGAAGAGGGGGAGGAGGAAGGAGGAGAGTAGGATGTGGAGGAAGGAGGCGGTTGATGAGGAGGAGGAGGAGAGGAGAGGAGGGAGGAGGAGGAGAAGGAGAAAGAAGGACGGCGGGAGGAGGAGGAGGAGGAGGAGGGAGGAAGAGGAGGAGGAGGAGGATAAGCACGAGGCGACGAGGAGGAGAAGGAGGCGGTTGAGGGGGAGGAGGAGGAGGAGGAGGAGGAGGAGGAGGAGGAGGAGGAGGAGGAGGGGGGGGAGCAGCATGCGTGCCGAATCGTCCCGAGAAGATGACGCGCAGGACGCCGAGGACGGTCAAGGCTTGTGGTCAATGATGTTATTTATGTTCATCTTCCTCCTCCTTTGCGTTTTCCCTTCTCTGCTTCCTATTTCCGTCCTGCTTCCTCCTCCTCCCTCGACCTTCCCGATCCTCGTCGGAAGGAGGCGATCCTGTCTGGCAACCTGCCTGGAGGGAGCCGGACACAGATAGGCATCATCACTTTCGACACCTCCCTCCACTTCTACAACCTGAACGCGAACCTGAGCCAGCCGCAGATGTTGGTGGGAGGGACAGGGGGGGAGGAGGAGGAGGAGGAGGAGGAGGAGGGAGGAGGAGGAGGAGGAGGAGGGACAATCAGGGATGAGCAGCAGCAGCAGCAGCAGCAGGAGCAACATGGGGAGCGGTTGGAGGAGGGATAGCAGGAGGAAAAGGAGGAGGAGGAGGAGGAGGAGGAGGAGGAGGAGAATGTGGAGGTTAATGAGGGAGAGGATGAAAAGGAGGAGGAGAGGGAGGAGCAGGAGGAGCAGGGGGAGGAGGAGAACGAGGAGAAGAGGAGGAGGAGGAGGAGGAGGAGGAGGAGGACGGCGGCAAGGTAGTCTCGGACCTGGAGGACATCTTCGTGCCCCTCCCCGACGACGTCCTCGTTCCCATCCAGGACGGCGCGAGCTGCCGGGGAGACACGCACGCTCCCTGCGCCGCCTGGACGGGCCAAGAGGCCCGGCGCGCGCGTGCACGGCCCGATGCACGCACTCGTCGGGGCTGACGAGACGGGGGTCGATGCCAGCGGGGGCCAGCCAGAGCGCCAGATCTTGAAGGACCTTTCAGGCGATCGCAAACATGGATTAAGGGGGCGTGGATGAGCGACGGGTCCCGTTCCCGTGGGTAATCGTGGATTTCCCCCGGCGGGCGGGGCGACACCGGCCGCATGTTGGGGAAGGCACCTCCCCCGATCCATGGATTTGGCGACCGCGCGCCAAATCCATGGATCGCTGATCCGTGTCTGCGCGCCCCCGAATCCTGCAGGACCCTGCGGAGCCAGGGTGGCATGGACCCGGGCTCGGGCGCCGGATCCTGCGGGAGCCTGCGGGAGCCTGCAGGACCCGGGTCTGGACATGGCCCGGGCCAGCAGAGCCCCGAGCTCGCCGGGACAGGCTCGGCGGCCGCAGGAGCCACCGGGGCAGAGCAGGGCCGCTGCGAAGCACGCGCTGCGCACGGGCGAGGCGGGGCGGAGGCGAGCGGCGGCCGCGGAAGGCGGGCGCGCCCCCCCGGGCCGTGCCGCTCTCGGCAGCGGCGTGCTGCGGCCCCGGCCGGCGGAGTGCTGCCGGGCACGGGCGCGTGCAGGCGCGCAGCCATCGGTCGTTGGAGGATTCCCAGGTTCCCTCCTCCTCCGCCTCCTCCGCCTCCTCCTCCCTTGTTGGATACGTCGTCTCCTCCGCCTCCTCCTCCGCCTCCTCCTCCGCCTCCGCCTCCTCCTCCAGGTGCGTACCGAGGTATTTCTGGACTCCCAGATCACAATCTGCTTCGAGCGCCTTCCTGCTTCGGTGATCGAGTGGCTCCGCCTGTTCCGTCCTACCTGGGGGGCGGGCGGACACCCAATCTACTCTCGACGCCTTCCTGCCTCGTGCTTCTACCGACCGATGGGTATAGGAAGAAAGGCGCTGATGCACCCACACACGGCGGCACAGAAGCAACGACGTACATCGGCGGCGCGCCCAGGGGGAGCGCGAGGGCTCCAGGTTGGAGGTTTTCGGGCGGCTTCGTCCGCCCACCCGGCGGCTTTTTCAGGCGATCGCAAACATGGATCAAGGGGGCGTGGATTAGCGACGGGTCCCGTTCCCGTTGGAAATCGAGGCTTTCCGCCGCCGAGCGAGGCGGCACCGGCCGCATTTGGGGGGCGCGCCACATCCGTGGCTCGCGAATGCGCGCCCCCGATTTTTCCAGCGTCAGGATTCAGGAGGGGAAGAGACACACATGCACAATTAATCGTCGATCCCCCGGAAAATATGGGGAAAATATGGGAAGTGGGGGGGAAGACGAAAACCCAGACACTATGGAAAAATATGGAGAATCCTTTTATTTGTGTGTATCTATTTGTGTCCCAGGGCCCCTGTAAGGATGCTCTGCGGCAGCTGTGCCTCGCCGAGGGCGTTCCCGGGGCGCTCGTCCCGAACGGTTGCCGTAGGGCCGCGTCCATGACCCGAGAACCCAGGGGCGACATCACGGGGAGGAGGAGCGGCGGCGCGCCCAGGGGGGGAAGGAAGAGGAGGAGGAGGAGGAGGAGGAGGAGGA